GAGGTACATGTTGTACTTTTTAACTGGTCTGTCGATGTGTCAGAGGTCCTGGGCAGGAACGAGGAGGAGCGTCTGATCAACTACCTGATTAAAGAACGAGGATACAACAAAGATCTGCGTCCTGTTGAGAGGCAGCAGGACGTCGTCGACGTTTACCTCGCACTCACCCTCTCCAACCTCATCTCTCTGGTACGGACTCTCTCTCTCTGTGTGTGTGTGTGTGTGTGTGTGTGTGTGTGTGTGTGTGTGTGTGTGACATCTCTAATCCTCGAAACAAGCATACATTTCTTTTTTATCTCAATACCAGAAGTGTCTCTGATGACAGCGATGAAGGACACAAACCTCAACATGTTGCTCTGACTCTAACGTTGTTCTTTATGAAACAAGTGTTGCAGCAGTTTTGACCTCTTTCTGAGTTGTTCTCTTCTCCATGCACCTCCGTGCCAGAAATCCATTCTTAGTAGACAAATCCAATGCTTCTGTTTCTGCCGAGAGTGTCAGGGATCAGTTTGTTGTTATGGATTTAAAGTTGCATTATAGGATTAACTCAAACAAGCAAGTCTTTTTGGAACTAGTTTGGAACTAGACCTGCAACGACTAGTGAACACATTGAATTGTCGATTGACAGAAAAATATCTGAAATTAATCTAAAGTTAAAGTCATTTTTCATGCAGAAACTGCAGAAAAATCCCGTTTCAGTCTCTCAAATATATGTACATTTCCGTCTTTCTCTGTTTTGTATCATATTAAACTGAATATCTTTGGGTTTTGGACACAACAAGATATTTAACGACATCACATTTTTCACTGTGTTCTGACATTTTTATTGACCAAAAGATAAAAGTATTTATCTCAAAAAGAATTGTTAGTTGCAGAACAATTTAGAACAATGAAGATGCTTTGAGTCAATGAAATATCTGAATAATTATAATGTGAGCGTTTGTTTATATGAAAGAAAGAATATATAAATATATATAACTGTAAAGTCATTGAATACACTGTTGATTTTTGTTTCAAACATTAAGCAAATAGCAGTAATGAAATACAAGAAATATATAGTTAATACGTAAGTGAAACAATTGAAAACATTGTTTTTATACTCCAGTGTATCTTTAACAGAGTACAAGTTTGAAAAGGGAGTTGGCTCTCTTCTGTTTTCATTTGTAGAAAGAAGTCGACGAGACTCTGCTGACGAACGTGTGGATAGATCATGTAAGTAAACGCTACTCTCCGGCTTCACGTTGAAGTTCACTTCTTCTGACTGAATACTTGACTGAATACTTCTCTCTTAGTTACTTGACGTAACTCTCGATGTGTTTGTGCGTACTCACAGACGTGGAATGACTACCGCCTGTCGTGGAACGTGACAGAGTTCGATGGCATCGAAGTCCTTTGTCTGCCGACCAGCATGGTGTGGCTGCCGGAGATTGTGCTGGAAAACAAGTGAGATTCACTTTCCTTCTTGTTCACATTTGTCGAGACACAAAAATCTTCCTTCATAAAGCTGGCAGCCCAAAGTTGCATTGAGAAGTAACTCTTTGTGTAGAATGTATGCTACATCTAAATGACTGAGTGATGTTGGCACACAGAGAGAACATGTTGTGGAACTGTCCATTTTCATAGCAAAAGGAATCTTAAGAAAGGAATAAATGCATTTGTGAAAAGTCTTTTAAATTGAGTTACGCAGTTTTTTTTCTGTGATTTTTTTGGTAGAGTTTCTATAGAGCTTGCAGATATTTAGGAAAGAAGACATTCATCAAAACAAAATCTCACCTCAATGTCCCTTTGAATAGCCACAAATTCCATGATTCGATTGAAAGCTCCAGAACGGTCACTAAATGTACACATTGTTGTACTATCACACATACAGTATATTTACACTGTACGTATTTTTGTGTACATATATTTGCGTGTTGTAATCCTCTCTGCCAGTAACGACGCCCAGTTCCAGGTGGCCTACTACAGTAACGTACTGGTGTATCCTGATGGGCTCTGCTACTGGTTACCTCCCGCCATCTTCCGCTCCTCCTGCTCCATCAACGTCAACTACTTCCCCTTCGACTGGCAGAACTGCACGCTCAAATTCACGTGAGGCGCTTGAACCAGACGGTGTCATGTGGTGCATTTAAGGCACAGATGAATTTGTACGTTGTGTTTACATGTTTACTTTTTGCCAAAATGTCAACACTTATGTGTCCAAATAATCTTACATAATCCACTTATCAGAATACTCCACACGTTTAATCGGGAATGTGCTTTCTCCTCTTTTGACCGGATCATTCATATTTTACAGATCAGAATAATAAAATAAATGGTGGTTTAGATGTCGATTGTTTTATCATAAATGTGCAGAAATCCACAAAAAAACCATCAGAAAACTGAGCTTCTAAACCACCAAACAAGGACTTAAAACAAAGAGGTTTAAACAAAACACTATTCAACCAAGAAAACGCAAACGATCACACGACAGTTCAGACCAACTGCAGACTTTTGAGCAGCAAAAAAATACTTACTTAATATATGTAGTAAAGGTTTTCCTCTGGTTATTGCTTCTGAAATGTGATTCAAAGATAACATTTCCCATGTTGCTCTGCAGCTCTCTGACCTACAACGCCAAAGAGATCCGGATGCTGCTGAAGGAAGACGCGGCGGACGGCGTCACATTTACGGTGGAGTGGATCATCATTGACCCCGCTAGCTTCACGGGTCAGTAAAGTCTTATTTTAATAAATATCGTGGAGGTTCCAGCGAAATTGTCTTTGCATATGTTACTTTATTATAATTATTTTTAGATTATTTTTATTGGGGCTACAGTTGGTTTTTCACAATGAACATGCTGCTGATGCTGCAGACGGCTAACATGATAAATGTTGGTTGAACTCATTGTCATTTTCTGATATCAGTTTAATATAATGTTGAGTTTTCTGCATTTTGACGTCGTACGAAGAACAAGAAAAGTGTTGGGAACAAAAGTAATAAATAGGATCATCATCTGTAGACCGTTTGAACACCACATCTCATGGTATTTACTGTAGGATATGGTGGTAAATATGGCACATTTAATTCACTAAAGTCCAGATTTTAATAAAAGCTCTGAGATGTCCTAAAATGTTCTCTTTACAAAGTATGACTTTGACTTTATAACACAATGTGGACTTTTTCTCAACGTTTTTGCCACTAAAGCGTAGAAGCTATTAATAAAGTTGTTTTAAAACCCTGCTGCTTATGTTGTGCACATCAACAAGACCACACGATATATTTTCTGTAAATGTTTTCTTCCTCCATAATTGACAAATTGCTGTTTTCAAGAATCCTCCAAGCTGCCAGGAATACAATTTGCCAGATTTATTTCCCTCAGAGGCATTTTATTTTAATAGTGTATATATATGCAGGAACAAAAAGTCATCTTTGTAGATCCTGCCTTTAAAGGGACAGTATTTTAAACAGCTAAAAACATCGATATCAGTTTGATTGTGTGCTATATAGAAGCTGTTATCTACCAGCAGACTCCATTCACAGAAACAGTGATTTTACCTCACAGAACACAGGTTAGCTTGTTTGTGTCACTGTGTGACTTTGGTGTTTTAAAGGGTTAATTCAGATTCAACACAAACAACCCAATCGAGGCCCCGGTAGACCAGCAGCTCCCGTGTCATGTCATCCATCTTCGTCATGTAAAAGTGTGTTTTTGTGTCCTCTGCGTTGTCTTCCTCGCTGCTTTTCTCCCGACAGAGAACGGCGAGTGGGAGATCAACCACCGGCCGGCCAAGAAGAACACCTACAAGCACATTCCCATGGAGAGCAACAAGCACCAGGACATCACCTTCTACCTGGTCATCAAACGCAAGCCGCTCTTCTACATCGTCAACATCATCATCCCCTGTGTGCTCATCTCCTTCCTGGCCTCGCTGGTCTACTACCTCCCCGCTGACAGTCAGTGCTCCTCCACTTACTCTCCATTACTCACTTAACAAGCACATCAACACAAACTACTGGTTTACTGGTGTGTGTGTGTGTGTGTGTGTGTGTGTGTGTGTGTGTGTGTG